AACATAACTGCCATTTCGCCTCATGCTCTAAGATCTGACCTCACAACTAAAGTGGCAAATTCTTCTGATTCCTACTTCACACTGTGGCCCCGCCTCTCCCAGTGTTAGTTCAGATACGAATAAGCTAATCACGCGATACCCTGAATTTCACCAAACGACTCGCTGCCGACGCTGCGACAAGAACAATAGTCTGAGTAAAGTACCTCACAGCTTACAAGCTTTGTAAGTAAAACTGGCATTTTTCAATGAAATTATTATGATACATTTTTTATACTATTATTGGAATTCTTCATGTGGATAGAATGTTATTGAACATCATAATTTTCAAAGAATTTGCACCGCCTATAAATTCTAATTAATAAACTTGCCTACATTTCGGATCGAACTGGATCCATCTTCGCGGGATAATGGCCTGAAGATAGATCCATTTCGATCCGAAACATTGTTTTTTCATTAAATTTTATATGCGGTAAAAATCCTTTAAAAATTATGATCAATACATGATGTGGTATGTTTTAGAATGTCACAAATGGATCAATAAAGCATGAAGTTTTACTTCCATTTACTTTCCCAGGAACGTTTCGAACGAAGCTCGATCAGTCTTCAGAGTTACAATAATTTATTCACCAGTTAAAGAAAGCTTTAATTATCTTCGCCAGTAGCTCATCAATGATCACTTTGAAACTGATTTTAGCTACACATGCACCATTACCATAAAACGATCGCTTAGGCAAATGTGACTTGTTTTGTCACCATCTTTAGACGCTTTGCAAATCGAGTTCTTGATTGGGATTCTGATGTCCGCTTATCTCGACTTTACCAGTTTTCCTGTCAATGTTTACTGCATCAACAAAGCAAAAATTCATCGTCGGCAACATTTCTCCCTTAAAAAATAAGATTTCCTGTGCCACGTGATGTTTTGGCTCTCGATCGATTGGCTTTGCAATGTTCTGACACCCATTAGAGAAACCCAAGAAGTCAGACGGTTGATACGATTCAATCATATGCGGGAAGTAACACGAATGATAAGCATGGTACCGTCATAAATTATAAGAAGTCCATTCGATCTGCATGAACATAACATTGTACATAGTTTACTGTAATTCTAAAGACAGATCGAGCTTCGCCCAGAACGTCACTTCAGTCTTTGGAAGTAGAAGTTTCACGCGCTATTCAGAAGTTTGTTACATCGCGACTCGATTTTAACGGTAGTTATCTAAGCCTA